GTTAACCGAGTTGAACTAAACAGAAGTTTCTTTCCCATTATTGAATCTAGTTAATTTGTTCTTTTCTAGCCTTGCATTAGTTTTGTTTAGTAAGTTTCTAGTCTTGTAAAACTAGAGAAAAACTCTTATTTGTTAAAGTAATTTAGATAGAATTAGTTTTTAATTTAATTTGCCGTTCCCTGAGTTCGATACCCTGCTTATTTAGCTATACCACAATTGATAGGTTCACTGCCTTTTGTGTGTTATTTGATAATTAAAGTAGGATTAAAACTAAGTGAGTTTTACACGCATCAGTCATCTCGTCAACCAGGAGGGGATTTTGGTCGATCCGGCCAAAATCGAGGCGGTTATGCGGTGGGATATTCTAAAATCTCCCTCAGATATTAGGAGTTTTCTAGGATTGGCAGGGTACTACCGGAGGTTCATACGGGATTTCTCCAAGATTGCGGTACCCCTCACTCGTCTGACGAGGAAGGGGACGGATTTCCGGTGGGGCCCCGAGCAGCAGAGGGTGTTTGAGACCCTCCGTCAGCGTTTGTGTGGGGCACCAGTCTTGACACTCCCGGAGGGAGTTGAGGATTTTTTGGTGTTCTGTGATGCATCCATCACAGGTTTAGGGGTGGTCCTCATGCAGAGAGGGCGAGTGATAGCTTACGCATCGTGGCAGTTGAAGCCGCATGAGACGAGATAACCTACGTATGACTTAGAGTTGGGGTGGTGGTGTTCGCCCTCAATATATGGAGACATTACCTCTATGGGGTCCAATGTACCATCTACACGAATCACAAGAGCTTGAGACATATCATGGATCAGCCAAATCTGAGCATGAGGCAGCGCAAGTGGCTGGATGTAGTCAAGGACTACGATTGCGAGATCCTTTACCATCATGGTAAAGCGAATGTGGTTGCGGATGCCTTGAGCCGCAAGTCAGTTGGGTCTTCCACCCCCACGGTATGTATGAGGATATCGGTGGATTCTCCACTTGTGAGTTTGATCAGAGATGCCCAGGTAGAGGGCATGCGACCGGAGAATTGGTAGCCGGAGAGGATCAAGGGTGAGAATACCCGGTTTGTGCAGGATAGTCGGGGACTATTGACCCGATGTGGTCCGATTTGGGTTCCGATGTCTGGTGGGGTTAAACAGACGGTTATGGAGGAGGCTCATAAGTCTCATTTCTCTATTCACCTAGGGGCCACCAAGATGTACCAGGATTTGAGTTTGAGCTATTGGTGGCCGTGCATGAAGCAAGAGATCGCTTGGTACATCGAGAGATGCTTGACCTGTAGGATGGTCAAGGTCGAGCATCAGAGGCCGCATGGAAAGCTGCAGCCTCTAGAGATTCCCATGTGGAAGTGGGAGCAGATCACGATGGATTTTATTACCAAGTTTCCGAGGACGGCGAAGGGGTTCGATGCTATATGGGTCATCAGGATCGAATGACCAAGAGTGCCCATTTCTTGGCTATACGGGAGAGCTCATCTGCCGAGAAATTGGCCGAAGTGTACGTTCGCGAGATCGTGTCTCGCCATGGGATTCCCGTTTCCATTATCTCTGATCGGGATGTCAGGTTTACCTCCCGCTTCTGGCAAAAGTTTCACGAGGAGCTGGGCATGCGGTTGCACTTCAGCACAATATTCCACCCGCAGTCAGACAGCCAGAGCGAGCAGACTATTCAGACCCTCGAGGACATGTTGAGGGTGTATGTCATAGATTTCGGTGGGAGTTGGAAATCTCACCTACTGCTTGCGGAGTTCGCCTACAACAACAACTATCATTCTAGCCTTGGCGCCCTGCCTTTCGAGTTGTTGTACGGGCGGAGATGTCGCACCCCGGTTTGTTGGGGTGAGGTTGGGCACAGGGTGATGGGTAGGACGAAGGTGGTCTTGCAGACTACCGAGAAGATTCAGCAGATTAGGCAGCGGCTGCAGACCGCTCAGAGTCGGCAGAAGAGTTACGCCGACCGGTGTCGCTCTGAGTTAGAGTTTCAGGTCGGTGACATGGTACTCCTGAAGGTCTCGCCCTGGAAAGGCGTGATCCGCTTCAGGAGGAGGGGAAAATTGGGTCCCCGATATATTGGGCCGTTCAGGTGTGACAACCGTCAAATTCCAGTCAAGTCAAAGTCAACCGTCAAATTGGGGTCCCCGGTATATTGGGCCGTTCAAGTGTGACAACCGTCAAATCGGGAACAAACTGTTAGATAATAAGTACATTGTTCCATGTATTTGTCAAGCTGATATCTTGAGAACAGAGGAGTATATGATCCCTATTCTAAAGGATGCGTCACTGACTGGGTCAGAGTTGACACCGACTTTTGGAAGCTTACGATTGCTAAGTCGGATCCTGAAGCCACATAGGCAGCTATAGTTATTAGACTCATCCAGGTAGGAGACTGTTGGATTTGGTGTCTAATCCCATAACTATAATTTGTATGTACTTGACCCGATAGTAGCATGATCCTTTTGGGTTGCCTTCACCAATGCAATTTGATATGATGGTTTTATGAGAATAAGGTTATTTACGATTTATTAATATATTATAAGTATAATATATTAATATGGTTATTTAATTAGTATTGTTCAAGAATTAATTTGGAATTAATTTTGTGGTCAAAAGAGACTAATTAAATATGGAAGGATTGATTATGTAATTCAATGATACTTATAGTATGGGCTAAGTGATCCATGATTATGTAAGTGGGCTAAACCAATAATATAACCCATAGATAGTCCATGGAAGTTAAACCCATGGATCATAGGAATGTGGAAAGTCATGGATCATTAGGGTTTTCAAAGTGTAACCCTAGCACTTGCCACAACTATAAATAGCCCCCTCCATGCACCAAAATCGGTTGCACCTTCAATAGAGACAAGTAACTTATTCTCTTAGAACTTTCTTTTGCATATTGGTGTTTGTGAACCATTAGAGGCATCACACTTAAGGTGTTCAAGCTTTCAAAGGTCAAGAAACTATACCCTACTCAAGAGGTAAGCATCCTAACCAAAGTTTTGTTATATAGCTTCAATTGTATACTAGTTAGGGTGAATGCTTTGGAAATAGAAAATGCATGTATAATTAGAGAAAACATAGATCCAAAGCATTTAGGGTTGCATTTGCACTTAGGAAGTGTTATAGTGCTCAAAACCCAACAATTTTAACTAGTAATGTTACAGAAAAGATAATATACACGATTAAGATGAGTACATTACCGTAGAGATGTTATCCACTATTATGAAATTGTACTTTGATATATGATTTTTCAAATTTATTGTGATAATATATATATAATATATATATATATATATATATATATATATATATATATATATATATATATATATATATATATATATATACACACACTTGCTTGAAGTACTATATGGATTTGATGATGTATTCATTCATTCCATGCTTTGAGAAAAAACAATTTGATTTTATTAATGTTTTCACAATGAAGTTTGAGTTTTTAAATCAGTATCATGTGCATTCATTTCATTGGGTGGGTTGAGACTTGTGTAGTCTAGATAATGAAGTAGAAAGGAACAAACTCAACAAAGTAACAAAGTGGTAAATTACATTCTAGAATTCATTCATGTGTGTTCGGCCTTTTATAACCTTCACATGGTTCATGTGTGATGGTTTATATGTAACCTAGTTTAACAAAATAACGAAGTGGAGATCTCTATTTAGTCAATAGCCATATTTTCTTTCCTCTGATTTACTTTAACACCCCGATTGTTAGGGAATTTTAGATTTAATTAGATTAGAAATAATTAATTTAGAAGTTCAAGATTAATTAAAATAAATATGGAGTAAAATATTCAAATTACATTTGTTCATTGGTTTTAAAAATAGTTTTTTTAATTGTATTGTTGTTAATCTTTTCGATCTAGTTATTTTGTTAGCTAACCAAGTTGTACATATGTGAGTTTATGATTATATTACTGTTTAACATAAATAATCAACTATTGAATATTTAGACTTATAATATATATCGCGCTTCACTTCACTTCAAATATAAAATAGGTATAACTATTAGAATTGTGACATACAACTCAAATGTTTTTTTATTAAACTACACATGGAAAATGATAAAAAAGAACAAACGAAGTACTTAATGAAGGTTGCATATTCATTATTCCACCGGTGTTCCCATAGCGTGCATGTACATTATCCCTTCCTTTCAGAGGGTCAACTGATTTAAGTCTTTTATCTTTTATCTTTTATCATTTATCAATTGTTTTAATTTGACTTTACACATTTTTATAATTTAAAAAATGTTTTAATATATTTTCATTAACACCTCTCAATCAACCGGTTCAAGAAACGGTGACCCCACCCAGTAATCACGGCTCCAGCAAATGACTTGTGAACTTGTAATTTTCCATTATCCATTTTTTTATCATATTCCAATTTCGCCTCCACCAAACCACCTTACACACTTTCCGTTGACCAACTCTCACCACCTTTTTTCACCTATTTAAACACCACCCACCACCACCAAAACACCACCATCCCCCAATGGATCACAGTTTCAACACCTCCACCCCAAATGATGACGATTTCTATGCTGAACTCACAAGACAGATATTGCTTCTTACAGACGAAGATGATGATGTTCAAGCGAAGAAAAAGGGTGGCCGGAGGCTTCACCGGAGACCAGTCGGTGGTTGGTGGTCAGTAATGCCGGGAAATTATTTTTTCAGTTGGTCGGAAAGTGGGGAGGTTGAGGTTCCTGGTTGGATGGAGAGGTTGTGGGCGGCAAACGGTGGTGGTGGCACCGGAGTGTTCATACCTCGTGGCGGCGTACACCGATCAAGAAAAAGACATAACAAACCACGGAAGAATCTTGAATCATCAATAGCTTCATAGGACTCGTGTACTTGTATCAAGACCATGCACTATGTTTTAAATGACATAAATGCCCTTGTACTATATATAGGCCATCGAATATATGAGGTTATTTTTGTCATTTTCTTATAAATCTAACTTCATACAATTTCCCTCCATGTTAAACAGGATAATGAGTCGGTTTCAGGGTATTTTTCTCATTTTCAAATTGCCTAGTCCCTAAACTTTGGCTCTTTGGTCAACTTGACCCCCTCATCCAAAAATCCTTACACTTTGTAAAAGATGCTACAATTTCGTCAATAAACGCAAAATAGCGAAAAGGTAAATCGTTTCTCCAAAGCCATAATCAACAAATCAAGAGCAATATAAGCTTTCACAACTTGTAATTCCTACAATGAAAGTTGTACATTGCTCTGGATTTATCAATTTAAACTCTGAAACAAAACGACTAACTTATCATAATATACAACATCAAAGATCAAAGATCCTATAAAATCCCAAATCAAACTAACCATACTTCTAAAACTAACCAAGTATACAACCACCCTAAAATTTTCAGCTGTTTTTCAACTTTTCAATCCGTTGACCATACTTTGACCAAACTTCAATCCTTCGGTCTTGCTAACCACAAAGAACTCAACGCACGAAGCCTCGACATATAATCATTAATTACCAAAAGTGCCCTTGCAGCTTGCCTTGTTGTCAATATCCGATGCAATTGTTGCAACGTTTGTTGTCTCAATAAATCAGCCTACCAAAAGATTTAACATTTTTTTTTAAAAAAATTCTCATTATTTTCGATAGGTGTATATAATTCGTATTACCTGATGAAGAAAGTTTTCAAGTGTTCCAAGCTTTCCCATAGCCATAGCCATTTGACCCATGTAATCAACAGATCCACCAGAGGTTTGAAGAAAGAGTGTCAACAAGTGATTGTTGCCATGCTTCCATACCTTGAGATAAAGCATCTTCAGCTTGTTGTGAAGATTGTTGTAAATTACATATCCCCATTAACTGTTGATCTGTTAATGGCTCCAAATGGCTCCCGAGTATCTATTCAAAAACAAAAAGTCAAAATAAATTGGGATCGAAGAAAGTCAAAGTGTTGGACAAACCTTGAGAAGCTCTGATGATCGAAAACCACCAATCCACATGAAACAACGTTCAGCTGGTGACTTCCACATCCCGGAAAGTAGGTGAAACACATCGGATTTTGCAGCTATGGATTTGAGTCTGAAGATTTCATCGTAATGTGACATGATTGCATCAACAAGCACACGAAGCTCGTTGTCGTTTGCATGAGTGTTGAATGCTGATCTCACATCGTTGATTAGTCTTTGATGATCTTCTAACCATCTTGCATAATCCATGTCGAAAGCTAATGCTCCTGTTGATTAACATGTTTTTCATGAAATTGATCGAATTTTGATTTTGGGGAATTTTAGGGTTGATTAGTGATATTACCATTTGAACCAAGTAGATGGCTTTGATCTCCACTGGCAATTAACATACCCTGTTGGCGAGCTTGTTTAAGCTCATGTTCAAGTTGTGTAAGCTTGAGTCGACTGTTTTCAAGTTGCTGAACATATGCCTGTGATGATTATGGAGATTATTTAGGCAAATCATCGAACATGTAGTGTGCGTAGGAAAGAAGGTGTAATAAGGTTAATACTTTTTTTCTCAATCGACTTTTCCTAGCTGCTTCTCGATTCTGAGCTAGTCTTCGAAGTATCTGATTCATGAGATTATAGAACAGTGTAAGGTTTTTTATGGAATGATTTAGAGAAGATGACGATGATGGTGGTTTTGAATTTTGAATTTTGAAACCTTTTGGTCTCCGATTTTTCCCATTGATCCTTCCATTGAATCTTGTCCTCCATGTTGAAGACTGTTAAACTACAGAGAACGAAGGAACTATTCATCATCTTCTATTCATAATTAAAATGGTTGAAATGATTAAAGAAAAAGACAAAAGATTTACAGAAAAAGACAATCGCTTGAAGCGCAGGAAAGTAAATGAAGGGAGATATTAGATATAGAGATAAAGACCTGATTTTTATCATCAGTGTCGATATCAGTAGAAGTGTCAGTTTGTTGGCTGTTATCTGCAATGCCAGACTCTCCCCAATTCTCAAAGTGCCCTTTTCCAATACCACCGCCACCACCACCGCTTCCGCCGCCGCTAACCACCATTGTTTTATGGTGATGCTGCATCATGAACTGGCCTGTATCCACCCCTGTCCCTATTGAACTCATCTCTGTAGTGGACCCAAAGTTCTAAACAAGTAAGAACACCAACAAACAAGATTCAGCTTCCCAACGAACCCACATGAGAAATCGCACAAGAGCACAAAAAAAATGTATTTTTCGATGCACCCACATGATAAAAATCATACAAACATACAAAAAATCATGATACCCATGGCTACTTACCATGTGATGTGCCCGAAACTGTAAGCCATTAGAAACAACACCTCCATTTCCATTTCCTGCTCTTATTTCATTATATATCGAACCTAACAAACCCCAAAAACGATTTCAAAGTTATTATTTCTAGAAAGAAACAGAGAAAGGGATAACATATACATACTTCTGCTTAAATCAACAGCATCCTCTTGATGAAAGGCAGATGAGTGTTGAAGCTCTCCAAGATCCGTAAAACGCGTGTCTGTTCTTCCATTTTCATCTCCTCTGTTTTTCATCAATAACCCACCACCATTATCGTTATCACGATCGAGAAATGATTAAAAAACAAGAAATGAAGCTGAGAAAGTGTACCTAATGTAGAATGGAGAATGGCAATACAAGTCGGAAGACGAAAGAGGATGAGGAGTAACAGCAACAGAAGGTGGATGTGTTGGTGGTGTTGTTCTGAAGCTTTGCATTTCTTGAGGTGAAAGTGAATAACAATGGCGGAAAATGGAAAATCTTTGGAAGGTAAAAGTATATGATCTTTTCAGTGGTATCAGTATGAGAAGATAGCGAATCAGTAGTACGGTAGCCTTTTCCAATTACACCCAAAATAATAGTCCATCGTCAGAAGTTTTTGTCATTATTGCATATTCTGACCCTATCACTCTCTCTTCTCTCTTCTTTTTCTCTTTCCCCCAAGTTTTTGAGCATTTTAGTCTCCCGATACACCAGCAGAAAACACAGTCATCCTAATTGCGTAAACGCACCTTTTCTCCATCATTCAACCCTCGCGCGCGTGGCGTGTCTCTATTTATGAGACCCCGATTTGCTTCGATTGTTTGGACCCACGTAAGCGCACGGATGCCACAAGGATTTTGTTAATATTGGAGAGGGTTTTGTTTTTGTTTGGGTTTGAGTTTGTGGGGTTTTGAAATTAAAATGTGTATTTTTGAGAAAATGAGATGTTGAAAAGAAGATTTTGACATAAAGTGAAAGGCTTTCGGACAGAGGTAACGGAGCCAGTTCATCTCTTCTGTTTTTTTTTTTTTTTGAGCTTGGTTTCCGTCTAATCAATCCATGTTGAAAGTATTTATTTGATTAGATATATTTTGGGATTTGCTTTTTTATTCTAAAAAAGAATTTCACTAGGCGGCTTTGTATGATTTGAATTTTAATGGCTAAAAATTAGATAAGTTTAGGTTATATGGTGGGGGCGTGCAAGGTATCTTTTTTTATGAGTCGATGTTGTATAAATAGGGTGTCAATTGTGTCGGGTTTGGATTTACAAGTTAGAATGTATCAACTTGTATATTTGTTTGTGTCGCGGGTTGGCAGGTTGCAAACATTAATCCGTATACGGTCCGTTTAATTATATGGGTTAGCGGGTTGGTGGGTTAATCTATGAACTCATATATTATTTGTGTAATAGTGAGGGTTAGTTGATTTAAAACATGTTATATGCAGGCCCGTCCCAGAGAGTGAGCGATAAGGATGACCGTCCAGAGCCCATCTTTTAAAGGTGTCAAATTTTTTTTATGGAAATTATTATATTTAGAAGATAGTAAAAGTAATTTTTTTTTAATTATTAAGTTATTATAAAGAACTTGATGACATTTGTGTATTTTAAGGGCTTTTTTTTTTCTTTCATCCTGGACCCAAAATATGTTTGGAACGCCTTTGGTTATACGCATAGGTTGATAAGCATAGTCACATAACTTAAATCTAATATATTAAACGGTGAACCACCTTCACGTAGTTTGCTATAAAATGGTAATACACTTTAAAATTTTGAAAATAAAAAATATATATACGGGTTGGCGGGTTGACCCGTGAACCCAATTACTAACCCGAACATGACATGTTTATTTGGCGGGTTGATCGGTTGACAGGTCCAAAATCTCAACCCAAACCAATTTATTTTCGTGTCAGTTTCGTGTCGTATTGTGAGTTGTGTCAAGAGTTGTTACCAATAGTCATAGGGGCCAAAAAAAAACTTAGATACAAGTATATATAGGTTTGACTTTAATGTAATAAATGTACCTATCTTTTTAGGCGTTGCAGGGTATAAACAAGAAGTTGAAAAAGTTAGACCTTTTTAGGTACGTGGTCTTCTAAAAAGAAAACAGTCTCCGAAAGCTAATATATGAGCATGGTCTGCATGACGCAAACAAAAGATGATAAGAAGATTCGCAGACAAAAAACAAACACCGCCTAAATGAAGGACCACCTTCGGGGGATATTTCTCTAAACAAGAATACTTATTTAAAAATGAAATGAAAATGAAATAGTTATGTAACATCCCAAAATCCAAGACCAAAATTTCCATTTTTAATTTAATAATTCATAAAATAGGTTATTAAAAACATCATCAAGGTTATCTCATATCATAAAATTCCACAAGTCATATGTCTCAAAAACATGTCATAGGATAATAATGCCAGATTACAAATCTCAAGAATATCATAATGCGGAAAATCGTGGTGTGATGCGTTGTAGTCATGTCGGCTCATTTCCCTTCGAAGAAGAAGTACCTGAAACCAAAACTATAAACCGTAAGCACGAAGCTTAGCGGGTTCCCCCATCATACCGCATACCATACAATACACATATTGCCTAGCATATCCGGGTGCTAGCCTACCCCTTCAGTCTCTTTCAACTGGTAACTACCCAGCATACAAGGGTGTTAGCCTACCCCTCCGGTCCTTTCGACTAGTAACAGGGACTATTTCACCCCAACTACTACCATATATCATTATAGTACATAAACACATAAGTTACATACTTCCTATCATATCAGGGTGCTGGCCTAACCCTTCGGTCCTTTCGACCGGTAACGGGGACTATTTCACCCTTCCTACCACTATCACATAATATCATAGCATACTAGCACATAAAGCATAACAGATAGTGGCATACTAGATAATTCTCACAAAGACAATACCTCGGTTAGCAGATCTAGTTGATACGCAACCCAGCCTACCCGGGCCAATACCTTGACGGACTAATGTATATGCGTCCCAACTTGCTCCGCTTCCTGAACCGGATGACACCTTTCCAAGGTGACACCTTCAGGAGGACCATGTCTCCTACCTGAAACTCCAAGTTTGATCAACGTCGGTCGGTGTAGCTCTTTTGCTGACTCTAGGCCATCTGGAGTCTACTCTGGACATGTTGGATCTTCTCTATTGTCTTGAGTACCACTTTGGTACTCCGTATGACCCTCTGTCCAACCTCAGTCCAACATATTGGGGTTCTGCACTTCCTCCAATATAGCATACCTAATAGAGGACGGTCGATGTTGGTGTAGTAGTTATTATTGTAGGAAAACTCTGCCAAGGGAATGTAGGTATCCAAGCTACCACCAAAGTCTAGAACGCACGCCTGCAGCATATCCTCCAAGGTCTAGATGGTCCGTTCGCTCTGACAATCGGTCTTCGGGTGAAAATTCGTGCTGAAGTGCAAACGAATACCCAACTCATCATGAAAATTCTTCCAAAATTTGGAAGTGAACCATACACTCGGTCGGAAATCATAGAAACTAGCACCCCGTGACGAGCTACTACCTCTCTGATGTAGATGTCGGCCAGCTTCTCGGCTAAAATACTCTCCTGAATCGGAATGAAATGGGCACTTTTGGTCAACCGATCCACGATGACCCAAATCGAATCCACTCCTCGTGTGATCCTGGGAAGCTTCGTGATGAAATCCATAGTAATATCCTCCCATTTCCACACAGGGATATCCAACAATTGCGTCTTACCATGAGGTCTATGGTGTTCGGCATTAACCTTCCTGCAGGCCAAGCACCTCTCAACATACCAGGCTACATTTTGTTTCATGTAAGGCCACCAGTAATCAGGACGAAGATCTCTATAGATCTTCGTTGCCCCAAGATGGATAAAGAACTTGGATTTGTGCACCTCCTCCATTAGAACCCGGTACACATCTCCATGATATGGAAGCCACACTCTATAGTGGAGTGTCAATATCTTGCGGCTATTATAGTTAAAGAAGGAAATCTGACCCATGATACGATCACTTTTCCGGTGTTCCTCCTTCATAGCCTCCTGTTGGGCTTCCCAAATCTGCTCCAAGAGCAGAGTCACTACTGTCATCCTAGGCAATTATCTCTGATCAGGACTGCGAATTCCTTGCGGCTAAGTGCAACGACCACAACATTGGCCTTCCCTGGGTGGTAGAGGATCTCGCAGTCATTATCCTTCACCACATCCAACCATCGCCGCTATCTCATGTTTAGATTTGGCTAATCCATTAGATACCTCAGGCTCTTGTGGTCCGTGTATAAGGTACAACGGACCCCATAGAGGTAGTGTCACCAAATCTTGAGGGCGAAAACAACTGCCCCCAACTCTAGGTCGTGTGTCGGGTAGTTCACATCGTGAGGCTTCAACTGCCTCGAGGCGTAGGCGATGACATGCCCTCTCTGCATCAACACTGCGCCCAAACCCGAGATGTACGCATCATAGTATACCAAAAAATCATCAACGCCCTCTGGCAGCGCTAAGATCGGTGCCTCACACAACCTTTGCCTTAAAGTCTCGAACGTTGCATGTTGTGTGAGTCCCTAATTTGCCTGTGTATCAATCAAATCCGTTTAATGGTGCAGAATCTCAATCAAACTGATGATGTCAGATCAAATAGAAAAGAATGAGAAGAAGAATATTATGAATCTTGAATGTATTGATAATATGAATTAAGTTCCTTACACAAAAGATTCACCCACACACGATGCTCCCTGGCCGTAAACTCCTTAGGGTTCATCAATCTCTACTCCTCACCCTAACACCTCTATTTATACTTGGAATATGGGCCGGATAACACATGGGCTGTAAATGAGTTTACGGTCGTAAGGTGTTTACGCCCGTAAACTCAGCCGTAAACTAGACCATAAATTCATAAATATTACAGAAAAATACAATTGCCCAGAAAAGTAAAGTATAAACCATATTTTGACCCAACAATCTCCCCCTTGGTTTATAGCTTTCTTTTCTTAATGACCCAACAAGCTCCCTCTAAAAGGTAGCTAGCTCTTCTTGTCAATCTTCAATGAGAGCTTGGCTTCAGCTTTATCCTTCGATTTCTTCATAGCATCAGGATGAACATATGAATCTTCAATGAATGACTTCATCTTGGGCACTTGAGGTTTTCTTCAGAATTTGGCATTGAACGCACATTGGGTGAGGAGGCTTGATGTACTGATTCTTGAAAGATAACGCTTTCAGCTTGAGAATCTTCAGAGAGAACATCAGAGAGAACAAATCTTCTGGGTCACTTCAGCAGGTACAAAGATAGTAGCAGACTGATTGAGGAAGCTTCAATGCAATTCGTCACATAATCTTCAAGTCAACTTGACCTTTCTTCTGGGGTTGAAGGATTGAATGTCGAAAGAATAATCTTCATTTCTTGCTCCTTCGAATGTGAATTCTTCGATGCTCACGGACGAGGCTTTGGCTCAGAAATCTTCAACACAAACTCTATGAGTCTTATCTATACCTGAAATCACTTTTCAAGACAAAAACAAAACTAAAAGAAAACTTAGCACAAAATTAAAACAGAAAAAAAATATTTTTGGATTTTTGATTTTTCTGAACAAGAAATAACACTATTTTTGGATTTTTAATTTTTCTTTATTTTTTAATTTTTCTAATTTTTGATTTTTTTTTCATTATTTTTAATTTTTAATTCTCCCCTAATATTTAAATTCAAAGAAACTATGACAAATTTAACAGAATTAAAAATGATATCAACTTTAAGAGTGATTTGGGATCAAAGTTTTTAGACAGCCTTATTCCACTTGTCGGTACCTTCTATCTTCACGTCTTTGTCTGGTCGATCATCGGTATTCTAGTCCACTTAAACACGAAAAATTGTGACTGAT